GAGGCTAAATAAGTCTTGGTGGTATGACAAGGAAAAGCAATGGTATTGAGAGCAGTTATGCCCCTAAACAGCCTTCACTCCAGAAAGTGGCGTTTTTCACTCTAGAAGTGAAAAAGAGTGACGCTGCATCTGGCTGGTTGAGACCTGCTGTATATTTTATATCTGTGGATTTGGGAGGGAAAGTAAGTTCTTTTTTATTTAGCTCCTTATAGTTTTCCCTTCAATCTGATATTCAGGTACCTCAGGTTCCTTTTGGATGAGCCACGAAAGGTAAGTATGAAGTTTTAATGCCTTATAGTTACCAAGAGGCAGTAAGTGGAATTGGGCCGGATCTAAATAAACTTGATTCATTTTAAGGGCCAGATTCAATTGTTAAAAAATTTGCCAATTTTAGTTTTGAGCTTAATTAGTACTTTGCAGAGGTCTTGCTTTCAAAATTACAGGGAGAAAAATGCATGGTGATTCTCCCTTGGTTGGCTCCCTTTTTCGGATATCTTCCCAAGGAAGTTTGACAGCCCATTGTAACTGGTGAGGGTTTTGCTAACTGATCAGAAGATAAAGCATGTGATTATAAGCTAAGATCTGCTAGTGTTGAGGATATTTTGCTACATTGGCAGCAAAGTTTGCCAAAGTTTGACCACAGCAAAGCAGTTGGTCCACAGTCTTTGTTCTCAGGAAAAGTATTTGCTATCTTTATTTTCTCCTGCACACCCCCAATCATTCTGCTTGTCCCTATCTTATTTTACTTCTTGTTACTTTTGCAGTTGATTGTATTTCACAAGGAAAAAGAGGGGGGAAGCAAATTGAATCATAGCTAGCCAGAGGAGTTCAGGAGGATAAGAGGCTCTTACAGCAATATGGGGGGGATGAAGTAGTGGAGAATATCCATTAATTAATGAGGTGAATGAAATTATGATGATTCTAAAATGGCTGATTTACTGAACTGCTTTGTAAATTGATCTTTAAACAGGGTAAGTTTATTAAAATATTTTAAAAAGGGAAAATAACTGAAGCCCTCCTAGAATAACAGTTCTAAATAATGTTACTGTAGTTATTCATTAAAAAGCAGTAGATAGTTGGCAATGTTAGAACATGTTCGATAATACCAAGTTTTGCAATATTTGTTTTGAGTTTTTAAAGGAAAATTCCCAGTTCCTACAGTTGTTTTCAATACATAAAACTCACTCAGAAGCATTGTTTCTAGATATCATGGTTGTGTAGAAAAGCACATGAAAATGTGAATAAGAGTTCAAAATCAAGAAGACCAATAAGAAGTATGTCAGATGCAATGTATGTAAGTATAAGCAAGGCAGTCTTTACATCTGTGTATGACATTAGTAAGACCAGCAGTGAGATACTGTGTCTGATTTTGGTGTTCATATCTTTTTAAGTGTTAAAATTATACAGAAGTTGTTTAAAAGGGTTGGAGGGCTAGAAGGAGACCTTGCATGGACAGACAGACTGCTGGATCATTGACTTTGGTTTTGTTTTTTTTTTTTTTCAAATTGCCAACATTTTTCTGGTTACTGTGTTAAACATAGTATAATGGATTTAATCTGACAGTAGGTGTGCTGCTCTTAGATGACTTTCTGTGAGCCTTTTAGCAGCAGTCCACAGATTAACAGGACTCTGTAGAACACAAGTTGAAAGTCACTGAATATCTTATTCTTATGGCCTTGTGCAGCAGCCCTTGGATCCCTGTGCGATTGAAATTACTGCACATGCACAGCGGATCCCTGCTGCATCAAAGTGGGACAAATGGGAGGCGAGACCACTTTCCCACATACAGCCGTGTACAACAGAAGGTCAACCATCTTGCATACAAGAACACTGGAGTTCATTATGTGTAATTCACTAGTAATTCACTGAAGGATACGTAGAATTCACTAAAGGATTATGTGTAATTCACTAAAGGATATTAATTTGGCCTAAGAACCCAGATCTGGAAGCTCAGCCCTGACATTTTAGACAAATTGGGGATCACACCCAAATTTAAAGGGAATGACTGGTCATGGCAACAAACTGCTGCAGGAAATGGTAAGTTCTGTGCTGCTTGACATTTTTGAAGCCATCTGGAAAGTCATGTTTCTTCAGATGCGAGTTTTTCAGTTCACAGGGCTAGAAGGACGAAAGTTTTGGGTTTCTGAGTCTGTGACAAACTGGAGATTTAATCTAAAGTATGTTTTGGCATTAAACGTCTAAGAGTCAGTAAAGTAGGAATTTTGAGTAGAGGTAATTCTGGATGGAGGTTCTGGTTCATTAAATCTTCCAGTTCGACAAGTACTTGAGCACATGACACTTGGTGTTGACAGATAAATGATCCAGGAAATGGTGACATGAGAAATACAGGTAAGAAATGCCAAAAAAGGTGTTTATCTCTAAGGAAAGGCGAGCTGACATATCTAGTGAAAAACCATCTCAAGGCCAGATGTTTAAGAAGAGAATTTCTATTTGAAAACCATGCTACTCTGGGCTGATGTGGGGGGCTTTCAGGCTGTACAGGAGTTTGTGATGTGAGTCAGTAAGTCAGTGTGACAATTCTATTCTCACGAAGCTTGGAGAAAAGGATTGAGCAGCCCTGCCTCTCCCAATGCAGAGGCCAAACCTAGAACACAATGTCTGTTTCCAAATGCTCCTTGTCAAGCTTTGAACGTCTCAGTCCGAGATGTGACTTCCAAATTTTACTTGTTACAATTCCAGTCAGTTGCTAGTCTACTGCTGCATTGGCTGCTGTGCCCTCCTTTTAGTGGAATAATCTGTGTGCTTGTCTTTTAAAATTTAAAATGGCTTGTACGTTTTCAGTAATCAATTGTCCAAAGAACAGCACATTCCTGTTGGACTGAAGCACTTCTATGGCTGTAGTCCGTCTGTCTTCTCAAATAGTCGTTTTCTTGGATGGGAGTCATCCCCTTGCATTGTCCTCCTGCTTCCTTCTCCCACGTACATACTGTTGAAACAATCAAAGGGGTTTGATAGTTGCTTTATGAGACCAAAGATAGGAACTTCTTCTCATTTCTTTATTTTCAAGGCTGCAAATGCCATTTTTGTAGATTCATGCATCCTGGCTTTGTAGCACCATGTCTGTACAGCTACAGTCTAGCTACAGCTCTACTAAGCAAGCCAGTTCTTCGTGCTGTTCTTCAGCCCCAAGGCCACTTGGCCACATCCATACTACCAGACGCTCTTAATGTTGAGACTGAGTGGCAGCATCCAAACAGAGTGTTTGTGGTTTCTGCTCTGTGCAAAATCTTGAAAAAAGCCTGCGAATTGGTCAGGAGTGCACTGGTTGACCAAAACTGCGCCAAAGACAGTTACAGTGATTTAATAATGCTGCAGATGACTGTGTGTAGATGCTATGGTGCCTCTTCCTGGGCACTATTTAATTTACTAGTATTGACATGGCTATACCCTCTGACTTAAGGTTATACCCGTTTCCATTGCCTAGTCAGGTCTGTGTTGTGAGATATTATTCCCCTGAAGAGATTCCCTTGCTACACCCCCAAAACCTACGGGCTTCGTTTACTTTACTGTGATTCATGTATTTGAAAAAAGACCAAATGCAGCAATTGGAAGTTTTGTCCCTCTGTGGCTCCTGTTAGGGACTTCTCTGTGCCAGTGCAGAAATGGAAATGAGGAGTAATCTTCAAAATTTGTGGAGAGAAATAGGCAGCCCTGTCCCTGGAAAGTCTAGGATAATCGTGACAGCCATCATCCCTCTTTTGGCTTTCATAGGGTCCTTGGAATTCTTACTTGACTTTCCTGAGGCTGCTGTTTGTCTGCTCTCTCTTGTAGGGATTGTACATTAGCTCTGTCATGTCTCCTGGAGTTTGAGTGATCTCTTCACCCTGCTCTCCTGCAGGAATTTTAATAAACCCTTGACTCATAAGAAGATTCACAAGAAAGATGGAAAATGCCTTGATCTCTTTGCCAAGTTCTGTCTGCCTTCCATCTGCCATCCCTTCTTCTCAAGATCTTGAGTTCTGAAGGAGGTGATCTTGTCATTTGTGTGCCATTTGGATCTGTAGTGAGGAGACTTAGGAAGGAAAAGAGATTAAGGGAGTGTATTGTGATTTTTTTTTTCCCCAGTTCCATTTCTGGGTTTTGCAGCAGATACATGTTCATTGTTCTGGCACCTTGGGAAGTTTAGGAGTTAAAAATGCTTTTGATGAGCCACCATGATGATTGAGTTACATGAGAAGCCTGCCTTTGGAGGGGAAAAGGCTGTAGACTTATTTCTTTAAATGAAAAGCTCAGTAGTAATTGGATGTGCTGCACTTTCCTTGTTAGGGCAGGCGATCTGTGACAACATTCCAGGTTCAAAAGTTACTAACTTCAGAAATTGAACTTCAGAAATGGGACTTCAGTCAAATCAACTTTGGTCCTTCAGGCCACTAGAATTTCCGCTAGGTGTGTTTTTATCTTCTTTTTTTCAAGGGAGCAACAAAAAGTTAGGGCAACTTGAACTCTTTGTTATTAAGATTCGGAAGAGTTGAGATTCACAAATCTCACGTTAAAACTCATGATTCATAAATCTCACGTTAAAACTCTCAACTGGTTAAAACTTCTCCAGAAAAACTCAACCTCTGGCCTTGACCTAACAGTTTTGGAATCTGGGGTTTCTGTCTAGTGGATACTTAGCAATGGGCAAAATTTTGTCTGAAATCAAGTTGCAGCCTTAATTACTGAGCAACCACTGTCTCTCTGTAGTGGTTTATCAAAAGCAAAAGGGTACTAAAAGAAGTTTTTTTTTGGGAATGCTAGTAAAAGAGAGAAACACTATTTGAGCACTTCAAAGAAAATATGCCCTTCTGCTACATAGTGAGCGTTCATGGGAGGTTGCCTGCTGAGCTTGTTTGGAGGTGGGCTGTTGGGCTGCCAGCTCTGTCATGTGTGTGACTTAAAGTTTTGTACGAGAACTGATCTTTCCTGCATGTAAGGTACTTTCCATGTACAGAACTATTGAACTGAAGTATTTGCTTTTACATTTTACTTGTTTTTAGTCTGCTGGAAACCATGTCTCACTACACAGATGAACCAAGATTTACCATAGAGCAGATAGACCTGCTTCAGCGCCTGAGACGTACAGGAATGACCAGACATGAAATCCTCCACGCGCTGGAAACCTTGGATCGTCTTGATCAAGAACATAGTGACAAATTTGGAAGAAGGTCTAGCTACGGAGGTGGTTCCTACAGCAACAGTACCAACAATGTCCCAGCATCTTCCTCTACAGCCACAGCTTCAACACAGACCCAGCATTCTGGGATGTCCCCATCACCGAGCAACAGTTACGACACCTCCCCACAGCCTTGCACTACTAATCAGAATGGGAGGGAGAGTAACGAGAGGTTGTCTGCATTCAACGGGAAGATGTCACCTACCCGCTACCCACTTGCAAACAGCTTGGCTCAAAGGTCATACAGTTTTGAAGCTTCTGAAGAGGACTTGGACATTGATGACAAAGTGGAGGAACTGATGAGGTTAGTAGAAGTCTTTGTAAAAAGTTTGGAAAGTCAGAGTGAGAAGTCCCTCAGAAGAAATCTGCATGTTGGAGGACTGCCGTAGTAGTGATAGGTATTATCAAGAAAGTAGGAACTGCGTTAGACAGCTGTTCCCCTGCTATTTCCCTAATGGTCACTATCTCGGTACCTCTCACCTGCCTCGTAGTCTTGTGTAGACAACCTCTGGCCGTGTGTGGGTATCCCACAGTCTGTTTTGCTTTTGAAATAACTTTTTCCCATGTTGTACCAAAAATTGAAATTGATGTTAGCGCACTAATTTTCTGCCCTGCTCTTATTCAGAAGACTTCTGACTGAGTGTCAATTCATGAGTCCTCCTCCACTACTTCATACCAGTTGTATTTCCTTCCATATATAGGGGGAGTAGGGAATCTGCTTGGTTAATGCTTTCCACTGGGATCTGCAGAGCATGTATGTTATCTGCTTATAGTTTGTGGCAGGGGCTGACTCTCTCTGGGATTTGCACAGTCTGCAGATTGGCATAGGAAAATACAAATAATAAAGAAGAAGCAGAAGTCTTCAGTGAGAGCCAGTTGTTTTTTTTTTTTTCCAGACTGACCTTTTCTTTACTTTTAGCGGCTTCCTTTTCAGCATTATGGCAAAGATGAAAGGAGGGGATTATACCACTGAGGATGAAAGTCAGAGTCAGTGGGCTTGATAATAAAAAGAAATAAGAGGAAAGACCAAATGTCTCAAAACAATTTTGGTCATAATGTTGGAATGTCTTTTTTTTCCCAAAAATTGTAACATTTATGAAGAACCTATGAGAGAACTAGGGTCCATAAGCTCCAGGATGAAAATATGTTTGAAGTAGTTTGGAGATGTAGGGTAAAGGTGTGGCTTTTGGGGGAGAGGATTAGAGATGAGCAGTAAGAAAAGCCAATCAACCTCATTTACTGTCGGCTGCAGGATAATGGAATAATGTAGGAAGGTGGTAAGTATAACAGTATGCAGGAGTTCCCACTGCTGAAGTTTAATCGTTCCTTTGAGTTTTGGGTTCCTATGCAATAAGCCTCAGGTAATGCTTTTAGTGCTTATTTAAACTTAAACTGCTTTTATTTACAGGCATATGGAAGATGAGTGTTGGGTACAGGAATAAAAATGAACCCACAACATAGCATTTATTTTGCATTTACGTTTGCAAGCTTGAATCTGCCTCGAATGCTGCTGGGGCAGGAGGGGAGAAGGGGAAGGGGAATTAACAAATAATAAAGCCTAATAGAGTCTGGTTTTAATTGTCTGCCCTTTTCAGGAAGGGGAGGGAGGAAGAGGAGGCAAAAGTATGTGTTTACAGCAATTGAAATTTGCTGCATATCGCAGTCCCTGTGCAGCCTCCAAATTATTTTCTTTTTAGCACGGTTTTAGTCCCTTCTGAACTATCTTTTGCACACCTTGTAAAAATCATACAAAGGCTTTAAATAACTGGCACTTGTTCATTCAGTGCAAGCTGTGGACTAAGGAATTGGGGGTGGGGGGATAGAGATTGCAAAATCTTTTCTCCTTTGGGTCTTTTCTTTGAAACGTTGGAGAAGGTTTGTGTATGTATATTCATTTGTGTAGCTAACCATGCAGACCCTGCTATCCTTTATTTTTTATTTTTGTGCCTCATTTTTATGACTGAGGTTTTTATGCTGGTATGAGAGATTTATTCATCCCTGTGTAATGAAACTTTGTACATTCCATATGGCAGTGCTGCACCTAATATGAATTATATAGGACATGAGTCATCCATTCTCCTGCTAGGGTACTTTGATCAAACGTGACACTTGTTAAAAGAAGTGTCCACCGGTGAGGCACTTTGACTATTTTAATGCCTGCCTTCCCCACTCCTTGTCCCCTAAATAAAGGAAATAAAGCCATTTTGCATCTTCAAAGTGCACTTTGGTCTGTCCGTCTTTTTGTGTGTTCTTTTGTTTTTTTGTTTTGGTAGGAGGGACAGCAGTGTGATAAAGGAGGAAATCAAAGCCTTCCTAGCCAATCGGAGAATTTCCCAAGCAGTTGTTGCACAGGTAACAGGTAAGAGCTCAGGGAGTCCTTTCTTCATTTTGGGAAACTGTGTCTAACTGCCTATCTGTGCACGGTGCAGATGTTGGAATATTGCTTGGCTTTCTGCATTGCAGTGCAGATCTGTCAGCTTAGTCATGATAATGTATGCCTTTGATTTAAGACCCATTGTCCCGCACATCATGGAACTTCCCCAGTGAATCACTTTTTCTTTTTTTCTTTTTTTGTGCCTTGTGCTAGCAGATTTTATTTTACAGCATTATAATAAGCCCGAAGTTCTTATCTTAAAATGAAAACGGTTTTCCTTAATTCTTAAATTGTTTGTTGAGTGTGGCAAATAAATGCGTATCTGCGTCTCTATATATGGAGAGAGCAAGATATATAATATGTATTTATATTATAAAATGTATATGAATAGTCAGGAGACACAGCTATAGCTGGTATCACTATGTCCAGGAGTCAGATTATGGTAGTTTGAAGTTTTTCAATCACTTGCCTTTGAGTCATGATTAATGAAAATCAGATGTGAGGTTGAGGGGATGACCATATTAGCTCAGACTTTACCTAGAAGGAGAAGTAGTTCTCTTTTTGCCCTCTGCCCTGTGCCTTCTCTCTTTCACATTCAGGACAAGTGAACAGACTGCAGTGATACCACTTCTTTCTTGGGTGTGTTTCCAGAGCTTTACACAAAGAGTAATGAAGTCTTACTGCTCCTCCATGGGCTGGGGTGCTATTAGTTCTCCTTTACAGCCTCACACTGCTTGTCCGGAACGGCGTAGCTGGTAGCACATTTAAAGTCACAGAATCATAGAATCGTTTAAGTTGGAAAAGACCTTTAAGATCGAGTCCAACCGTAAACCTAGCACTGCCAAGTCCACCACTAAACCATGTCCCTAAGCACCACATCTACACGTCTTTTACGTACTTCCAGGGATGGTGACTCCACCTCTTCCCTGGGCAGCCTGTCCCAGTGCCTGACAACCCTTTTGGTGAAGAAATTTTTCCTAATATCCAATCTAAACCTCCCCTGGCACAACTTGAGGCCGTTTCCTCTTGTCCTATTGCTTGTTACTTGGGAGAGGAGACCGACCCTCACCTCACTACAACCTCCTTTCAGGTAATTGTAGAGAGCGATAAGGCCTCCCCTCAGCCTCCTCTTCTCCAAACTAAACAACCCAGTTCTCTCAGCCGCTCTTCATAAGACTTGTGCTCTAGACCCTTCACCGGCTTTGTTGCTCTTCTTTGGACAAGCTCCAGCACCTCAATGTCTTAGGATGAAGACTTGATAAAATACAGATAGCTCAATCCCATGTTATACCTATAACATTTATTCATTTTTTAACCCAAGCTTGAATAAAGATCTTGCAATAGATTCGTTTTAAGGTTCCTTGATGACTAGGAATGCCAAACCAGTAGGAGGGAAGTTGTTCTTTTATGATATTTCCAGTATTTGAAATGTCATAAGAACCCATCTGTTTGGGAGATCTGGGTTTGCAGACGTGCTAGCAGTTGAGGTGGGTAGGCAGAAATGGGTGCTTGAGCCATGGAGCCAGAAATTCCTTCCACATCTCCAACTCTTCTCTGTGATCTTGGGCAAAATTACTTGTCCTTCCCTGGTTTCAATTTCGTCTGTAAAGTCATGAGATTAACATTTTGTGTAACTCTAAGGAATGTTATTAGCCTTATCAGATGTTAGTGGCACAAATACTTCAAAAATTAAATCCTAAGTTTAGTTGCTTAAATTGTACCTGAACTCTGAAGTTTTGGTAGTTAACGGGTCACTCCCCTACTTTTGTGCAGTCCTTGTCTGAATATAGTCCTGGAATAACCCATCTCTGAATTAACCTTATAGCACCCTTCACGTCTACCAGCAAGTCGAACTAGCTTCCCTTTCAAGAGAAGTAATGCAAAGAGGAAAAAATTGCAGAAAAAGAGTCTTTCCAAAACAAGCCAGTTTGTTGGGTTTTTTTTGGTTTGTTTTTTTTTTTTTTTTTGGGCAGTGGGACTACTGCATGCAGGGCTGTTGAATCAGAATCACCACAGCAAATCTAAGACAGAGTCTGTATCAGTAAAAGGAGCTGATCTAATGATAATTAGCGAGGTTTCTCGGTGCGTGTCTTGATACCGCTGCAGGCAGACTGTAGGAAAGTCAAGACCAGTCTCTTCACACCTGATCATTTTGCTCCTTCCATCCTCACCCTACTCTCTTGGATTTCAGTTATTAAAGTCATTAAGTTGGCATTTAGCCTTTGGGAGCTTTCAATGTTTGCCAGGCTGTTCCTCTGTGAGTAAACAACACCATCTACTTCATACACGGTTGACTTAAGTTTCACACCCATCCCACTCAACCCTCCTGCGTAACATGGGGGGGCATCCAGAATGTACTCACACAGTGATCAGCGAAAATATTACTAGATGTCTCTTTTGAGCCTGTCAGTGGGACAGAATGAAGACTGAACTAATAACACCGTGTAATTATCTTGTTTTCAAGCCAAATCAATGGGAAACCAGGTAGATCTAAAGGTTAAATGACTACGTCCTTTTGCAGCTGACCCAGTAGTGTTTCCATGGGCCTTTCAAATAAGAAAAGAAAGTGATATTTTGCATGTGATGCAATTTCTCAAGCAGAGATAGCTGCAAGGCTTGTGCTGCACTGTGACATACCAGTCTCTTTTATCCCACTACGCTTTGCAGTTGAACTGTGTCATCCTCCATATGCTTGGTGGGAAGGTCTACAGGAGCTGATTCATTTTAAATATAACCCATAGCCTTGTGTAAGCAGATGCGTAGTACTTACGTGCCACTATTAAGTACATAGTTATGGCTTATCTGAAAGAAATAGTAAATCTCAAAGAGATGTTTTAAGGGATCGGATTAAAGAGTGTGCTCAGCACTACTGGGAGAAACATCGGCTTCCTTTCAAAAGCACAGTACGGTGAAGAGTGGCTGAAAATAGCTCGGGACAGAGACCCAGAGCAGAAAGCATGTGTCCCAGGGCTCTCACTTCCAGAGTTTTTTTAGGCCTGATGAGTGCTAGTTGCCTTGTGTATTCTTCAGAGGTATCCAACATTCCTTCCCATTCAGCTGTGAAACAGGCTCCCAAGAAAGGCCTGGAAACCACTTTTCCTTCATTAAAAAAGCGGTTTGTGTAGACAGAGGTAATACTTTGCAGAATATATGATCCCAAATGGTATCATCTCAGTATTTACAGGCTTAGTCTTACTGGTAAAGCTGATCTGTAAATCATTCAGTAAACAAGAGGAAAAACAGATAAATAAAATCCTAAGTGTGGTCAGTAACAGATGGTGTAGGAGAGGGCCATGACAGTGAAGTGATACCTCTTCAGAATACTGTTCAGCCTCCAGTGATCCGTGTCTCAGGGTCCTCTTTATTATATTGCACATTGAGGTGGAACCCTGTTCTGGACAATGAAGGGGCTGTGAAAGAGCATGAAAGGGGGCAATTCTGCAAGAACAGGTCAACAACCACACAACAGAGGCTGGTGTGCTTACAGCCTCCATCACCGTTTGTTGCAATACAAACATAGCAAGCTGTGTCTGGAGGCTGCAGTGCAGATGTTGGCCATATTTGACTTGCCCATCTACTGGCTACCACCCTGCATCAGCTGGAAGTCATTTGTTTAGCACTTGAAATAAATGCAGAGTAGTGTAGCCTCAGCTTTTAGCGTTCATCTCTTCTGCCCCGGGAAGAAAGGCAAGAGAAATGAAATGAAAAATTTATGGCTGGCTCTGTCCAGAAGGAGAGTTGTTTGGCTTGGCTACCCATGCTGTCAAATTTCTTCTTTCAATATCTACCAGTTTCTTTACTACTCTAAAAAATTGTGTGTGTGTGTAATGGGAGGGGAGAATGGCATGAAGAGGGGAGAGGAGTAATAGTGCATCTGAACAGAGTGATACTAGACCTTTAGCTAGGAACCTAAAACTTTGCTTCCTTTTCTTAATTACAGCTGGATTTGAAGTTGGCCAAATTGGACATGTAAGTGATGAACTTTAGCTAAGCCAATGTATTTGCATGTCTTCAAATTGCAGGTCTTGGATGAGCTCATCAGACAGTGTAATGTTTCCCCTATGCTTATAGAATCATTAAGGTTGGAAAAG